CCACCTGCCTTCCAGATCGTGTTCAGTGCGGACCCTGCCGAGGGCGGCCTGGGCTCCACGGTGGCACCGGGGGTCTCTCAGTCCTACAAGGTGGGGCCGCCTCCAGGGGGGGCTCCGGGCAGGGCCTCAGTCCTATGAGGTGGGGGCCGCCTCTGGGGGGGCGCTCCGGGCCGGGCCTCAGGGCGCCTGTCCATCCCACCCTGCAGGTGCACATTCACCCTGACACCAGTCACTGGAGGACGGCTCCGCGGTCAGATGCCTGGAACAGCACCGCGGCCAAGAAACCAGGTGTGGCCCGGGGGGCAGGCCACGTTCCTCTGCACGGCCGCTTGAGGCACCGCGTCCAGCTGCGGGGCTCCTGGTCACTGCTGGTCCAGGCCAGCCTGGGTCCAGACCTCCTTACGTGACCATCCTCCCCGACTCAGGAGCTGTCAGAGTAGAACGGCCTCGCAAGCAGCCAGCATGGATGGCACAGGGCCTGCCGGGTCACTGGCCGGGCGTCCACCAAGCTGGGGCACAGCCGGGCCTTCTGCACTGCTGGGGACGTTTCCAGAAAAGGTTGTCAGACCTCCCGACAGCATACATGGAGGCCCAAAGGCCCCGCTTCACGCCACCAGCATGGTGGACAGATGGGGACAGGCTCGGGCCAAGGTCACTCGCCAGGCCTCTGGGTCGTGTCCGAGGCGTCTTCGGCCTTCGGTGCTGGCCCTGTCCTGCCCTTTCCACAGTAGCTTCACCCGCTGCCCTGTGTCCTGGGCCTGGGGTTTCTGGGGACGTTCAGGGTAGGGCTTGTGCCAGGGACACTGTGGCTCTTGGTGTGGGGCTGGCCTGTCCCGGTCCCAGCACGTGTTTCCATGGTGTCCAGTCCTGGCCAGTGTCCCAGCCGCCCTTTGGGACTTGGTCTTTGGGTTTCGTAGCCTGACAGGTCCAGGGTGATGGCACTGTGTCCCATCCGCTCCTCAGTGCAGCTGGCGGCCCACCAGTGCCCACCTGCACTCTGGGCCCAGCCCCCAGCCCTGCTGGCCTGTCCCGCTCCCGACTCTCCAGCCGGCAGTCCCTCTTTAAGCCGTGCCCTTCCGGGGGCCGCCCACCTACCATCCGGCGGGGCCGAGCAGGACAAAGGGCTGGGAGTGTGGGCGAAGTCGGGGCCTAGTGAGGGGCCACGGTGTGGCCTTGGCAGGTGAGAGATGGGGAGACCGTGTGCCCCCCATGCGGCATTCGTGATCACGGGAGGCGGACTGTACTGCGAGCCAGGGCCTGACACCTCCCTCCACATCTGCCAGCTCTCCCCACAGGGCCGACCGTTAGTGCTGGTAGGCTATGCAGGTGCCAAGGGCAGGGGCGTGGTCACCCGTATTCCACGTACCCCGAGAGCATGTGAATTCTCAGAAACAGCTTCTCCCTGGGTCAGGCATTCATAGGAAATGAGTTCATCTCCGGCCTTGCTGAGAAGCTGGGAGTGGGGTGGGGCCGGGCCGGCCTGGGACAGAAGCAGGACAGAAGCAGGCCTGCGGCAGAGCTGCTCCCCGAGCCCCTCCTACGTCACACCTGTCTTTGCTGTTGCAAGGCTGGCCCAGGACAATGCAGGGCTGCTACCACCACCCCTACCTCCCGGTCACAGGGCAGATCCCATCTTGGAAGAGGAAGAGGCTTGTTCGTTCTTGGAACTGTCTGCTGATCTGTGACCTAATGTCGGCTTTAGTCATATTTGAAGTCATTCCACTTGTGTTATTTTAATTCCCAAGCTTCCGGAGCCTGTAGGGAGTGAGTGGGTGGCAGGCATGTCTACTGTGGTCCCCTCCCCAGGTGGCCTGGCGCTCAGGAACTGCGACTCCCGAGGACCTGGGCCTTGGGGGTGGTGACAGCACTGCTGGTTTTGCCCCCCAGAACCTGGGCCGGTGCTCTCTCTGCAAGCCCGACATCGCCTGCTCCCTTCCTGCGGAGCGCGGTGGTGGCCTCTGCCTGCTCCGAGCCTTGAGCCACACATCAGTCTCTGTGGATGTCTGGGGTTGGGGTCGGCTGGCCTCTTTGGAGGTGACCCCAGTGTGTGCCCCCCAGGTGCTTTTCTGGGTCTGCTCTCTGCCCCCGGACCCCTGAGGGAGGGCCCCAGCTCGCACAGGGCTCAGGCACGCCCCCTTGGTCGGGTTTGTGCGCGTGGCTGTGGGGCCCAGTGCTGCCCATGGAAGAGAGACGCGAGGATGGCAGTCAGGGGCCGCCTTGGGGGCCACCTGTCACAGCCTGCCACTCCCCCCCAGGGAAGGTGCTCAGTTACTGGTGCTTCAGCCCCGGCTACAGCATGCGCGAGCTGGTCCGCCAGGGCGTCCGCACGCTCATCCTCACCAGCGGCACACTGGCCCCCGTGTCCTCCTTCGCCCTGGAGATGCAGATGTAAGGCTGCCCCGTGCCCTGGGGTGGGAGGGGCCCAAAGCCAGCCCCCAGCGCTGGGGTTCAGGATCTCATGGGGGCCACCCGCTGCCTCCAGCCCTTTCCCAGTCTCTTTGGAAAACCCACACGTCATCGACAAGCACCAGATCTGGGTGGGGATTGTCCCCAAAGGACCCGACGGAACCCAGCTGAGCTCTGCCTTTGACAAAAGGTAGGGGGCCTGACGCCAAGGAGGCGGGTGGGCGGGCCGGCTGAGTGCTGGGACCCCCGTGGCAGCTGCCTCCTGGCTTTGCGCAGGTTCTCTGACGAGTGCTTGTCCTCCTTGGGGAAGGCTCTAGGTGAGTGCCGGGGGAAGCCCTTGGCCCGGGCTGGCCTGTCCTGGGCCCCTACCCCATTCCATGGTGACGGGGGAGCCCCGTCTCGCCCCTCCCCAGCCCTGCTCACTCTCCTGGGGCCGCTGGCGGGAGCCTCTGGGTGCCCCTCCCACTGACCGAGGTCACTACACTTCCAGGCAACATCGCCCGCGTGGTCCCTCATGGGCTTCTGGTTTTCTTCCCCTCCTACCCCGTCATGGAGAAGAGCCTGGAATTCTGGCGGGTGCGTCCCCCTCTGTGTGTCCTGGAGGTGGGAGGGGAACCTCGAATGGCCTAGCGTATACCTTTGTCTGAGAAAGCAGAGGTGGTGCTGGTGCAGCCCAGGGACCACGAGATCTGATGGGTGTGACAGGTGTCCTCATCTCTGCCTCCTCCCACAGGCCCGTGACTTTGCCAGCAAACTGGAGGCCCTGAAGCCTTTGTTCGTGGAGCCGAGGAGCAAGGCTGGCTTCTCAGAGGTCTGAGCTCGCCAGGGGTCACTGCCCCCATAGCCACCATAGGCTGGCCACCATCTCTGCCAAATGGCTCTGCTGCTACCCCAGGTCCCTGTGTTTTCTGGGAAACACGGGCCAGGCTCTGCATAGTGGGTACAAGTCAGCCCGGGAACCGTGCCAGGAAGAAGGTGGCCCACTTGTTGGCTGGGACAGTCTTCCATCTCAGAGGATGAGGCCTGGGGTCTCACTCATGGGGGTGGGAGGGGCCAGGGCCTGAGCTCTGGGTGACCCACCTCTCCTTCCAGGTGATAGGTGCTTACTACACGAGCGTCATCCGCCCCGGGTCCCGTGGGGCCGCCTTCCTGGCTGTGTGCCGTGGGAAGGTGAGGCCCCAGGGGTCTGGGTCCCACACTGCCTGGTCCGTCTGCTCCTCCCAAGGGGGCTCATGACTCAAACCTGTGGGCTGCAAAGTGGGCCGGACGGGCCAGGCCCTCCGTTGGGCCCCAGGTCCAGCAACCATGAGTTAGGAGAGCAGCGCTGCCCTGCCCCCCGCCCTGCTCGCCCCCCAGGGGTACTGGTGGGGGCCTCTGGATGCCCCTCCCTCCGACTGAGGCCGCCGTACTTCCAGGTGACATCGGGCTGGGCCCTAGCTGGGGTGGGCACTGGGCCCACTCCCAGGGCCGAGGACGTGGTCGCAGGGCTCTGGGGGCGCGGAGTCCAGCCAGGGCCTGGCCCGAGGTTGCAGCTCTCTCCCTGCACTGTCCACACCTGGGAAAGGTTTGCGGGCTCCTGTGGGACGGTGGGCGAAGACTTCACTCCGTCCTCAGGCCAGCGAGGGTCTGGACTTCGCAGACATGAATGGCCGCGGGGTGGTCGTCACGGGCCTCCCGTACCCCCCACGCAAGGACCCGCGGGTCATCCTCAAGATGCAGTTCCTGGATGAGATGAAGGGCCGGAGTGAGGCCAAGGGCCAGGTGAGATGCCACAGGGCTGGGGGGTGGAGGGCAGGAAGGGCTAGGAGCCCCCGTGACTGAGCACCCCCGCAGTTCCTCTCCGGGCAAGACTGGTACCGGCAGCAGGCGTCCAGGGCTGTGAACCAGGCCATCGGGCGGGTCATCCGGCATCGCCACGACTATGGGGTTGTCCTCCTCTGTGACCACAGGTGCGGCCCCCCACCTGCACGGGACCCCTGCCTGGGAGGGGGCGGGGGGCAGGCGGGCTCCCGGGCTGAATGCCCCTCCCTGCTAGGTTCGCCTGTGCAGACGCCAGAGCCCAGCTGCCCTCCTGGGTGCGCCCCCACGTCAAAGTGTACGACCACTTCGGCCACGTCATCCGGGACGTGGCCCAGTTCTTCCGTGTCGCTCAGAAAACAGTGAGTCCCGAATGCCCAGGTGGCTGTGCCCTTACGCCCTCCGCAGGGGAAGGGCTGGATGGACCCCCCACCCACCTCGTGACTATCTAGATGCCGGCGCCAGCCCCCCTGGCTGCTGTCCCGAGCCTGGGCAAGGGCGAAGCTGCCGTCGTGGCGGCCTTGTCGCCCAGCCTCCTGTCTACAAGGAAAGCCAAGAGTCTGGATGTGCATGTCCCCAGCCTTCGGCGGAGACCCACAGGTGTGTATAGCCGGGTGACATGGCTGGCCAGGGGGCTGCTTGCAGAGGCTGGTGGCAAACTGGGCCTGATGACCAGAGCACCCAGCTGGGGGGACCTGACTTGCCCCCCACCCCACACTTGTGCTCCCCCAGGACCACCAGCCTCTGAGGACGCTGAGGGCAGCCTGTGTGTGGAGTATGAGCAGGAGGCGGTCCACACCCAGCGGAGGCCCGGGGGGCTGCTGGCCGCGCTGGAACGCAGCGAGCAGCGAGCCGGGAGCCCTGGGGACGATGCCCTGCCCAGGCAGGACGAGGTGCGGGTACGGGGCGTCTCCACATCACCCCGTAAATTCCCTTGTCGGCAGGGTTGGAGTTTCATACGTGCTTGGCACTGCTGTGAGCCTCACCCTACAGCTGGTGCGCCCCAACGCACCCCTGTGGCTGCTCTTTGGGTGGCCAGCTTGACACAGCTTGCTCAGAGCCCAGCCCAGAAGCCAGTAATTTCCAGTCTGACCTGGAGCTCCCCACTTCTTGCTGGTGGCATCCCCTCTCCCCTCCCTGACTGTCCTCTGGTCCCTGGAGGGAGCCCAGCTGCGTACAGCTGGTGTCTTGTTCCGTTGTCACCTGTCCCTTCGGTTAACTGTAAGACTGCCCGCACCTGCTTTTGAGCTTGGCCCCCAACAAGCTCCAAGGGAGGCAGTGGGGACTTAGGGAGGGGGCCCTCCTCCCCTCACCGTGGGCCCAGGAACACACGGGGCTCTGGGGGTGCTGAGGGCGTCGGTCAGGACCATGGCTGTGTCACCCTCAGGCACGGTGCCACTCTGCCTCGTCGGTCCCGGGGGAGAAGAGGCCCGCAGATGAGCAGAGAGGAGGCCGGAGGAAGGTCAGGCTGGTCAGCAGGCAGGTAGGCAAGCCGCCCACGGATGCAGCTGCGGCGTGCGTAGCGCCCTGTGCCCTTGCCCACGGCCGGGGGCCCTGACTGAACAGGCCAGTAGGTGAGCCACCCACAGACCCGACCACGGTGTGTGCGGCCCGCCACGCCCTTGCCCCCGGCTGGTGGCCTTGACTGGGCAGGGCGAGGTGTGAGTACACCAAGCCAGTCTGTCATTTTAAGTCCTTTTGCTGTCCCGCCAGGGGGGCAGTCTCTGGAGGCCTCGGGGCTTGGCCTCTTTGCCGCCTGCCCGTGGGACACGCACTTGGCAGAGAGTGTGGCGCGGCTGCTCCGAGGCCTGCCTGGTTCTGGCTGTGAGGTTTGTAGCGAGTTCAGACGTCCACCTTGGTTCTGACGGTCCCGGGACCAGCCCACACCGGCACCAGCCTGCAGCCCCCTCAGCGCAGAGCGACGCCCGGCACCTGCCTCGCTTCCCGCTGCACCCCCGGCTCCGGCCTGGCCCCCCACTATGAGGCCTGCAGTCGTGCAGCCAGATCTGGGCCGATGGTTTTGGTCTCTCCTGAGCGAGCGCTTCGTGGGTGGCGGGGTCCGCACAGAGCCCTGGGCCCCTTCCACAGAAGCCTCCACCTGCCAGTGCGTGGGGTCAGGCTGCTCCCCTGGGCAGTGCCGGCCAGGGCTGGGCCCGAGGTGTCTGAATGTGGGCAGGGTCTGTGCTCCTAGCCTCACGCAGAAGCAGTTAAGACCCAATGATTGAGCCTGGGCGGCGAGGCCCCCAGACAGCCCTGCACTGCCTGTGTCTGCCCCGTTTCTGGGAAGAGGCCAGCACTGCCAGGGGCCAGACGTCGTCAGGAAGTGGGCGGGCAGCCAGGGGCCTGGCCTCCAAGGGGCGAGCTGGACAAGACTGGGAAGCCTGGGCCCCTCCTGCCTGCTTTCCAGCCTCCCTTGCTGAGGGTCCAGCATTAGCCCAGGGTGTGCAGCATGAACGGGCCCTGAGGTGCTGTCAGTCCCTGGGGTGCTGAGGTGTGTCTCTGGCTGTGAGCTGATGGCCCTCTGAGCCAAGGGCACAGGGAGCTTGTGGAAGGGTGGGGCCTGCACCCAGGGACACAAACTGCCGTTCACCCCTGTGCTACTCTCAGAGGGCCATTTTCCCCGCAGGTCCTTCCTGGCTGCCTTTGCTGGGATGGGACAGGGGTAGGTGGCATGCCTGACAGGGTGTCTGACGGGGCACCGGGCCGTGTGTCCAGCAGGAGGGACCCGCATCCGGGGCGCAGGTGTGCGGGGCCAAGCTCTTCATGGCGGCTGTGAAGCAGGCACTGAGCCGGGCCAGCTTCGAGTCCTTCACCCGGGCCCTGCAGGACTACAAGGGCTCCGACGACTTCCAGGCCCTGGCGGACCACCTCGGCCCCCTCTTTGCTGAGGACCCCAAGAAGCACAGCCTGCTCCGAGGTGCCCAGGGCTGGTGGCCATGGGGTAGAGGGGCCGCAGGGGGCCGCAGTTATCTCTGCTCCCTAGAAAAGGGACAGTGGGTGGCCCACAATTGCAGGGCCCCCGCTCTGGCATGGTGGCTGCAGCGTCCCTCCCAACAGGCTTCTACCGGTTCGTGCGGCCACACCACAAGCAGCAGTTTGAGGAGCTCTGCCTGCAAGTGACGGGCCAGGGCTGTGGCCACCTGCCCAAGCACAGCCTTCCCCTCGGGCAGCAGGTGCAGCCTGCCTCACCCCCTGACGGTGAGCGGGGCTTTTCCTGCTGGACTCTCAGACTTCCCCGAGGGTGGGGTGCACCCCGGGTCCTGGGGCAGGCCCTAGCTTGGTCTAGCTTCCCTGTTCCTGTGCGAGTCACTGCGGGGTACACCACGAGAGTGGAGCTCGGCCGTCCTCCACCTGGGGTCCCAGGGCCCTGTCGTTCCCCCATCTCTCCCTGGGGTGGGCCCTGCACCTGCCCAGCCAGGGAGCCTCTGCCTCTGTTACAGCTGTCACGGGGGGCCTGGCTCTGAGAAGATCCCCCACTGCCCCTGGGAGGGGCCTTTCCAGCCTGAGAGTCGCCCCTCCCCGTGTGGGGCTTCATGCCACTGAGGCGTGCCTCGCACCAGCCCCTCCCAGCAGTCAGCTGTTGGAGGGTGTGTGAGTCGGATCTGCTGGGTTCTGAGGAGGCTTGTGAGGCTGTCTCCCCTCAGACAGACCTGCCTCCTCCCCAGGGAGTGCTTCGAGCCCTTGGGACCAGTCGGGTGACTCCTCGGTCCCTGTTTCTTCAGGAAAGAGGGAGCTGGACCACAAGCTGACCCTGTCCCAGGGTGCGGCCAGGCAGCTGGACACCGGAGAGCACCTGAACCGGGGTGGGCCCCACCTGGTCTCGGGGGCACAACCTGAAGGTATCCAGTCTCCGAAGAGGCTTCGGACCAGAGCTGGAGCTCAGACCCCTGGACGGGGGGGTCTCCTTGGTTCTGCGCCCCACGGCAAGGGAGGCTGTTGCGGAGGTGCTCCGGGCCCTCTGGGCCCCTGGACCCCAGTGCGGTCTGAGCCATGTCCCCTCCCCACCAGCAGGCCTTGGAAGCTGTCCGCAACAGGCGTCTGCAGTCCCTCCAGCAGAGGTGCGGGGCCAGCCTGCTGTGAGCGCCTACTTGGCTGACGCCCGCCGGGCCCTGGGGTCTGCAGGCTGCAGCCAGCTTCTGGCAGCACTGACCACCTACAAACGGGATGATGACTTCGAGAAGATGGTGGCTGTGTTGGCGGCGCTTACCACCGCGAGGCCAGAGGACTTGCCCCTGCTGCAGAGCAAGTGGCCAGCGGGTGCTTGGGGGCGGGCAGAGGGCAGCGGGGGCAGCGGGGGCAGCGGGGCCGGGCCTGAGCTCTGCTGTCTGCAGGGTTCGGCATGTTCGTGCGTCCACCCCACAAGCAGCGCTTCCGGCAGCTGTGTGCAGACCTGAGCGGCTGGCCCGCCCCGGGCATCGGCACCAAGCCACTGGGACCCCAGGAGGGGAGCCCCACCGTGCCTCCCAAACCCACCCCTGGGGCACTCAGGCCAGGTAGGGTGCCCCGCCCTGTCACACCTGGAGCCCCACGTAGCTCTGGTAGGGGTGGGTAGCAGAGCTGAGCCAGGCACTCAGACTCACTGCTGTGTCCAGTCCCCTCACGAGAGACCAGAGGTGATCCAGAGCAAGGTGTCCTTCCTCAGACAGACAGCGGACTCCAAGTGCCCCTCTGGGACACACGCAGTCCCAGTGCGGCCGGTCTTCCAGAAGGGGGAGGGAGCCCCAGCAGCAGGCCTGTGGCGCTCACAGCGGCCCCCTTGCCGCAGGCCTGGCGTGCCCCAGCTGCAGGGCGGAGGACGCGGTCCCCTTCCAGTGCCCCTCCTGCGACTTCCACTGCTGCCGGGCCTGCTGGCAACAACACCTCCAGGTCGGACCCCAGGGACTCAGCTGCCTGGTGTCACTGCACATGCTGGGCGAAGGGCCGGGGCAGTCAGCGGTGCCTAGCAGGTGTGTCCAGCGCCTTCTCTGTCTTCACAGGCCTCTAGAAGGACGTGCCCGGCCTGCTGTGCCGCCGTCAGGAAGCAGAGTGTCACACAGGTGTTCTGGCCAGAGCCCCAGTGAACGCGGGAGCCCTGCAGGCTGCGGGGTCTGACCAGACACCTGCCTGTCGGCTGGGGGTGGGCCAGCCAAGAGCCCCGCCACCAGGGAGGCTGGTCCAGTGTGCCCGGGGCCTAGGACTGCGCCCTTGGGGTCGGGTCTGCCTGCGCGTGCTTCCCCACAACTCCCTGGCTTGCGGCTTGTGGGTGCACCCTGGGAGAAGGGAAATTCCTGGGACCTGAGCCTGGCCGGTGGGCCTGCTCTCACTTGGGAGGACGCTCTCTAATAAAGCCATTGGCACTACTGGGGCACTGACCATGTGGCCTGGGCTTGGTAGTAGGGCTTGGTAGGTGGTACCAGGAAGGAAGGATGGGGGTGTCTGTGCACGTTCCCCCTTTCACCTCGTCCCACGAGAGGGCATCCTGAGCGCCTTGTCTCAATTTGGTTCAGCCTGTGTCATTGCAGCTGGACAGGAAGCTATGGTGACACCAGAGGGAAAAGAGTCTGCCCCCCCACCCCCGGGCCACTTCAACGCACCGCCTGGTCTGGTCACTGGGTCCTGAGCGGCCCCTGGTGCAGGCCCTCACAGGACTGTGCCCGGCACTGGGCATAGGCACCAGAGGGCTGGCGCCAGGCTGGGTGGGGACTGTTGACGCTTCCCAAAACCGGCTCAGAGCATGGCCCCCTGAAGGTCGTCGGCCCCTCCCCTAGGGCGTGGCAGGGAGGCCCATATAGGAGGAGGCTGGGCTGGAGCCGAGCATGCGCGCTGGCGGTCAGTCGCAGGTAGGGCGGTCGGGGCAAGCGCCCAGGCGGGTGGTGCAAGGCTGCAGCGGGGTCCGGTGTCTCCGCTGAGTCTGGGGGACCGACCCCGCTCCAGGAAGGACCATGAGGGCGCCGGAGAGGCCGCCCCTGGCCCCGCCGTGGGCTCTGCCTGCCCTGCTCCTGGCTCTGGCTGTTCGCGGGACGGCAGCGGGCGCGCCCACCTACCGGTGGCGGGACAGGGACACGCGGGAGTGGCTGGAGTGCAGCCAGTGCCCCCCGGGCACCTTTGTGCAGCGGCCCTGTGGCCGGGACAGCCCCACTGCGTGCAGCGCGTGCCCACAGCGCCACTACACACAGTTCTGGAACTACCTGGAGCGCTGCCGCTACTGCAACGTCATCTGCGGGGAGCGCGAGGAGGAGGCGCAGCCCTGCACCGCCACCCACAACCGCGCCTGCCGCTGCCGCACCGGCCACTTTGCGCACGCAGGCTTCTGCCTAGAGCACGCGCCCTGCCCGCCTGGCACCGGCGTGGTCGCCCCTGGTGGGTGTCAGTCTCCCGGTGGGCGGCGCTGGGCTGGGACTCCAGCCGCTACTGAGGACACCCAACTCCCCTTGACCCCATCCTCTCCGTCGTCCCCAGGCACCCCCAGCCAGAACACGCAGTGCCAGCCGTGTCCCCCGGGCACCTTCTCAGCCAGCAGCTCCAGCTCAGAGCGGTGCCAGCCCCACCGCAACTGCACGGCTCTGGGCCTGGCCCTCAACGTGCCAGGCTCCTCCTCCCACGACGCCCTCTGCACCAGCTGCAGGGGCTTCCCGCTCAGCAGGCCGGAGCCGGGGGGCCCAGGTGAGATGGAACTGGGGGGCGACGGGATCAGCCTGAGTCCAGGCTTCAGCGGGTGTCTGGGTAGGGCCTCTGGAAGTGTTGTGGGGTCCAGGGGACCCCGGAGCCCCACCGGTAGCCCCAGGATGAGGCGGCGCTCATGAGTGCTCTGTGCTGAGAACTTACTACCTAGCCCGACACCCGGATATTGGGAAACTGAAACCTGAGAATTTAAACTTGCTTGAGGTCACAGCAGTGGAGTGACAGATTGCCGGAGTGTCGCATCTCTCCCCTGGGGCTGGTGAAATCCGGGCAGGTCACTCCCAGGTGTTAGCACAGGGTGCTCTCCACTTCGGTGTGTGGCCAGCTGGGGCGAGGGTGGGGGGAAGGGGTGGCCCTGTGTCCGCTGAGCCCCAGCAGCCCTCGCCCTGACCCTTTGCAGAGACCGAGGAGTGTGAACGCGCCCTCGTCAACTTCGTGGCTTTCCAGGACGTCCCTTTCAGGAAGCTCCTGCGACTGCAGCAGGCGCTCGCAGGCCCAGGGACGTGGAGTCCGCCCCTGCCGAGGGCGGGCCGCACCGCCTTACAGCTGAAGCTGTGGCAGCAGCTCACAGAGCTCCGGAAGGCACGGCCCGGGGCACTGGCAGCGGGGCTGCTGCGCGCCCTGCACTCAGCCAGGCTGCCCGGGCTGGAGCGCACTGTCCGAGAGTACTTCCTCCCAGCCCCTCACTGAGCCTCCCCTATTTATGTCACTAACCAGCCTCGGCTGGACCAGAAGAGGCTGCTGACTGGCTCCCTCGTGCCAACGAAGTTTATTTTTTATAAAGCCGGTTTATTACAAAACTGGTTGCAGACAGCTGCGTCCTGTTGGCTCAGAGACTGGAGGGGACGCGTCAAGGAAACACCTGGGCAGCACTGGGGCTTCCTGAGTTCTCAAGTTCTCCCCCAGGCACTGGGACAGAGCCTCAGTGGAAGGACCGTGGGTACCCAGTGGGTGGCAGGTGTACCCCTTCCTGCTGTGGGGCACAGTGGGAGCCCCATGGAGCTCGCAATGGTCAGGACAGTGTGGAGGGTGGGTGAGGGCCAGCCAGGGAACAGCTCAATATGGGGCAGTACCCAGGAGGGTCACATCAAGGCCAGCAGTTCCCCTGTGGAACAGGACCCAGCGGACTGACCAATGCCCCTCCCCTGCCCTCCTTCTGCACTCCGCCCATCCCTCCCTCCGGCAGGGGACTTCCCAGGAGGGACTGGCTAAAGCCCTCCTGCTGGGCTTTCTGGGGAAACAAGGCTGCTCCAGTGCCAGGGGAGGAGGAGGAAGGGACACCCAGCCCCAGCCTGGCTGCCCTCCCCAAACACAGGCCCAGGAACCCCATCTGACCCCATGAGGGGCCCCAAGGGAGGGATAGAATCTAATAGCCCAGGACTCCCCATGAGTCATCCACCTGCAGCTGGGTCCCCGCCCCTCCCCTGACTCATCCTTTCCCAGCAGCCCCTCTTAGGCCCCCAGTAGGGAGGGAGGGAGGGCGGGCAGCCTGGAGGAGCCTGACCTGAGGACATGAAGCTACCAGGTCTGGCTATGGCCAGGCTGGTTCCATGAAAGCAGGTAGTGCTGGACGGGCCATGGCTCCAGCCTGGAGCCCCTTGTGCTGTGGTCACCACACAGCCAGAGCCCACAACCCAGCCTCGCCACGTGGAGGGACAAGGGACGGGAGCTGCTCGGACCACCTTTATTTTACTCGTATTACCTGTAGCCAGGTGGGCTGGGCGTGGCCAGCTCCCACATGAGCCATGTGGGGAGGGTCTCAACTAGCCTCACAGTGAGGGCAGCTGCTAAGCATGGGCCTGGAAGGGGACCCCACCCACCTTCCCAACACCCCCATCCATGCCCAGGCCACCCGCCCCCAATGGTGCACCCGAGATGACAACCACGCTTGTCCCACGTGGGTGACCGTTAAGCTTAGGTAGGGGTATGCCTGTTCCCAGCCCGAGCTCCCAGCTTTTCTTTCCTTACTGGGGATCAAAATGTGATGTTGGGCCCATGGGCCACAGGGAAGGGAGACATGGCCTCCCTGGCAGATCTCCTCCACCCTACCCTGAGACTGCATCAGAACCCAACTCCTGCTAGCCTTCAGGAGTGTGGGCCGAGTTTCCCGCATGGTGACCCCAGCGCCCCGCCACCTCCAGAATCAGGGTGGATAGAGACCGAGGGCAGCCAGAGCCCCTCCTGTCCGCGGCGAGCTGCGAGGTCTGGAAAACCCCACTTCCAACCAAGACCCCTTGGGCCCCACCCCGGCTGGCGGGCAGGCCGGCTGCCAACGCTGAGGCTTTATTCCCAGGCCCCAAAGTGGGCTCTGGGCGGGTCCTGGCCGGGTGTGGCTGCAGGTCCCCGGCCCCTATTCCCTAGGCAGAAGCCTCTGGGTGCAGAAAGAACTCTTAGAAAATAAAGCAAACGAAAAGGCCCAAAGACAAAGCCAGTCCCATCCCCGGGACTGGGGGCTGGAGGTGGCAGAGCGCCCGCGGGCTCCGCAGGAGCTGTGGGCACGAGCTGCGGGCGCTGGCCGTGCCTACGTGATGTCCCTCTGCCGTGGTGGCCGGTGCACGTTCCGCACGACGCACTTCACCATCCACTCGATGCCCTCACGCACCCCTTGGCTGTGGAGACAGTGGGGTAAGGGAGGGCCGTCGGGCCCCCCAGCCGCAGGGTGAGGGCCCCACTCACCCAGTGAGGGCCGAGCAGGCCTGGGTCAGGCAGTCCCGCCTGCCGATCTTGGCGGTGCAGTCGCTGAATGCCGTCTTGATGTCGGGGATGGACAGGCAAGTCTGGGGGAGGTGAGGCTGTGAGCAGGCCCATCCCCCAAGGCTCTTTCCTGGCCCCAGGGTGGGAAGCAGTGGGGGCCACCACGGCTTCTCTGCCCAGGAGCAGTCCCACGGGTGAGCGGCCTCAGAGAGTGAACACCTACAGCCACGATACATACCCCCAACACAGGCCACCGTCCTGTGCAGTCCATCCGTGGGGACAGTCACCAAGACTGGGCTTGGGGTCTGGCCAACTGGGGTCCTGGGAACATCTGTGCCCCTCCCCAGACTGCCCGCCAGGTCTTGGGGGTGGGGTTGGCAGGAGACAGGTCAGGGTCCTTTTCTTTTTTCTCCACAGCTGCTACCTCGGTCTCAGCTAAGGCTCAGCTGAGACAAGGCACAGCTGCCCCCCAGTGGAGAGAAGGTACCCTGCACTGCAGGCCTCTGGAGGGCACTGCGCCCTATACAGCTTGGGGTGCCCCACAAAGGAAGCTTTTCCTGGAGCAGATACCCATCCCCCTGGCAACGGGGCAGGCTCACCTCGACATCCTGCTTGTTGGCCAGCACAAGGATGGGGACACCACCCAGAGCTTCACTTGTAACCATCTTCTCTGGAATGGGTGAACAGATGACAATAAATCCCCTTTGTCTGCCTGCCCCAGGCTCCCACATTCCAACCGACCTCCCCACAGGCTGGACACGCTCCCCTGTGGCCGGAGCCCTTGTGACCTGGTGCGGGCCTGGCTCTGGACACATGGGACGTGCAGACTGAATCTGGACAGCCCCTCAGCACCCCCAGCCCTGGCCAAGCCGCACCCACCGAAGGCTCGCTTGGACTCCGACAGTCTCTCTTCATCGGTGGAATCGATGACGTAGATGACGCCATGGCACTCGGCATAGTACTGGGGGAAGGGCGCAAAAGGGGGCTGAGTCCTGGGCACTTGTCCACCCAGGGGCGACCCCCAGCTGCAAGACCCTCCTGGTACTTTCTGGGGATGGGGAGGCCAGGCGGAGTGCAGGTGCGCCCCAAACCCTTCAGGATGGGTGTGTTGACCTTGGAAAGGGTAGGCCCCGCCCCCGCCCTCTGCCAGGGTGTGAGCCTGCAGACCCCACACCGCCGCCTGATGGTGGCCCAAGGGGACGGATGGGGCCTTGGAGCTGGAGCCGGTCCAAGCTGCCTGGTGCAGACCGGATGAGGGAGGAGTGTCTCGGTAAGGCCTCGTGCCAAAGCCCACAGCAGCCACAGAAAGGCCACCGAGGGGCCAGGCTCGTGCCACACTCGAAGCACCTCTGTCCCCTGGGCCGGACAGCAGGGCCAAAGACCGAGGCAGCAGCACCGAACTCAGCCCTGCGGCATGGGCCGGAGCCAGGAGGGCATGAGCCGGGCTTGGTGACTGCAACAGCACCGTGGACCCTGCACAGCTTTCAGGGCCGAATCCTAGCTGTGGGGAGTCAGTGGGGCAAGTGGGACTGCGCCCCTGGGGAGAAACAGACGCACAAAGCAGGGGCTTTGGACAGATGGGCCCACTGGGCCCAGGACACGAGGAACACAGCCAGCCTGGCAAGGCCCCTTCTGCAGCCAGCAGACCCACCAGAACAGTGCAAATGTCCATGCCCACAGGAGCAGGCAGAAGCTCTGCCACTTCGCCCCAGCTCTCCTGCCTGTCACAAGCCAAGACCTGGCACAGCCAGATGTTCTGCTGATGGCGATCCAGTGGTCAGTGAACTGAAAGATGCTCTGGAGCATTCGTGGGTTGACCTCCACCCCCATCTAAAACAAACTTTGTATCTGCACTTGCTACGTAGAAGACGGCCCTGGGCTTTGCAGGCCATGAGTCTCGCAAACAGGGACTCCTCTGGCCTTCGTGCAGGGTCACACAAGGGGACTCCAAGCAGCAGGATAGCCAACTTACTGTTGATGGCTGGGGACTGGCAGGCCCTACAGTGGAGGTCTCCATGCAGAAAGGGACACTGTGGGTTTTGTAGCGCAGTGAGAATCATCATGCAGCCCTTGGGATGGCAGAGAACTTTGCTCTCAGTGTGTGGCTGGGCCCTGGTGACGGCCCAGCCACGGCAGCAGTAACGGAGCAACACGTGTGGGGCTGCGCATGTGCAGGACCTGGGGCACACCAGGCTGCACTGAGCCCACGGCATACACCACGTCCCAGACCCCAATGGCTGCGTCACATATGGCCACATGGGGGAAATCCTACAAAACCAGCGGAAAGAGAGCGGAGCCCAAGCGTGGCTTCTGGGGCAGGGGCACACGCTGACAGTCTCAGAAGTGTGGCCTGGAGGAACAGAAGCCAGACGTCCTCCTGTGGCTGAATGCCAGGTGACCCCAGTTACATGGAAAGACATAACCTGAGTCTGGAACTGGGGAGCGGTCAGGAGCCCCACATCCATCCCTCACGGTGACCCACAGGGGACTCTGCCATCCATTCCCACAGCTCTGGGCTTGGCAGGGTTGGGGCTGTGGTCACCACCACAGCACCTACTCACCAGGGCACAGCAGGAGACCTGAGTCACAAATCCTGGCTACCTCCTGGGCATGCTGGAAGACAGCCCACCCTGGCAAGGGTAACTGACCCCATGGGCAGCGGGAGGAGCACCCATCCCATCACGGGGCTAGGGAGACCCCGAGGAAGCCAGGATACACCAGAGGAGGGCCTGGCGATCAGGAGCTCATGCCACTGGCAGGAGTGGTGGCCAGGGGGCAGCACAGGCAGCTGCAGGGCCAGCCTGCTGGCCCCGGGGGCCAGCTTCCCCTCAGGAGATCCTGAGTCTTGGAGGAGCAGTTCCCAAAAGCAGAGGCATGGATACAGTCCCTTGGTGGGACTGGTCACCCGCCAAGGCCTTGCTGCCAATGGTGGGCAGCATGTTGATGGACAGCCCCTTGTTGGCTCCTGCAGGACCCACAGAGAGTCACAGCTGCGCAGGGCAGCTCACTGTAACGGCCCGCCAGGTGGTGCGGCATCCTGGCCAGCCTGGCCGACGGGCGGCTGTAAGGAGCAATTCCCTAGTTCTCCCTACGGGCCCTGCCGTGGGATAGGCACCTGTCCCACTGCCCGTGGGGTCTCCCCCTGCCCGCCCAGACCTGCAGCCATCCCAGGTGCTGATCCCCAACACGCATCCCGCACCCCGACCTCCACCTCAGCATCAGCTCTGAAACCCTGGCCCACGACAGGCTGTGCCGCTCTGCTTCGCTCCCCATTGGATGGGGGTTCAGACGAGGAGGCCCTGGCTTGGCTCTGCCTCACTAAGACTTTAAGATACGAAGTACTTCGGGGGGAACAGAACAGGGTGACTGGTGCCTGCTGCTAGGATCAAACCAGAATTCAGAGCCCTGACTCTCAGTTCTAAACACACAGGCAATCAGTGTGTGTCGGGAACAGGCCTGCAGCCCCGCATCACACTGTCCCAAACCCCGCACGCCAGTCCAGCGGGAGGGGCTGCCGAGGGAAGTGGCTGCGTCTGTCCTGTGCATTGCTGGGCCTAGCACCGGGCACAGGCTGAGCTGCAGACCACTCTGGCCTTTGTGGGGCGGGGGCGAGAGCACCACACGGGACCCTCAGAAATGGCCAAACTCGTCGTCAAAGGAGGTCGCTGATGTGCGCCTCTGAGGACATCATTCCCTGATGGGGAAGGGCCAACACAGAGGACAAGCTAGAACGGAGGGTAGGGGCCAGGGGGACACACGGGCCTGGGGGCAAAGGTAGTACCAGGCAGGCGCCAAGCCTGCCCCACGGCTGGTTCCCGGCCAGCTTTATTCACTGGCAACAAAAAATCTCTAACCCAAAAGAACCACGTATGTCCCCAGTCTCAGAAAAGTGACTCGGAACTAGGATGGGGGTGAGGAGAAGCTGCTTCCAGCAAGGAAGGCTGAGTCGGAGGCCTCGCGAGAAAATGGAGGAAGAGACCGCAGGGCAGAAACGACGCAAGGGCAAGCGGCACGGGGCGCCGGTCTCACCTTGTCCCACAGAGACTGCAGCTCTTCCTGCCCACCGAGGTCCCAGAACATGAGCCGAGCCTTCCCCACGTCCACCGTGCCGACTGCGGAGAGGCGGCGCGTGAGGCTGCGGCCTTGCGCCTGCACAGCGCCCCCAAGCGCTCCCAGACCACCGGGCCAGCTGCCTGCTGACCACACGCACCCTCAGGGGTCTGCCCCCCAAACCCACAGCCCTCGGGGACCCCCTTACTGTTTAGACCCACGGTGGTGGTGATTTTGGAGAAACTCATGGCCTTGTAGTTCTTGTTAAAGCGGGTTTTCGACTGCTCCAGGAAGGTCTGAGGGAGAGACGGACAAGAGATGGCTTAGGCTGGTTTCAAATCTTTTCCCCAAATGTCCCTGCTTGAGCCTGTCCCTTTAAAACAAAGCAGAACAGAGCGTTTTGCTTTTAAAGCAGTTGCTGGCGACTGTTCCATGGCCTTAAATGGGGTAGGGATACTTTCAGGGCACTGACCAGTTATCTGAAGGGAGAAAGCCGGAGGACCCGGGGGCGAGGGCAGGAGCAGCAGCCTACCGTCTTTCCGGCATTGTCCAGGCCCAGAATCAGCACGCAGTACTCGTCCTTCCGGAACATGTACTTATACAGCCCGGACAGCAGCGTGTACATCCTGCCCTGGGCGGGAAAGCTGGGTCACCGCAGATCTGATCAGCCCCGCACCCGCCCGGCCTCCCCATGGCGGTAACTGTCACTCCCGTGTGTCCCACCAAGTCCGTCGGTAAGTCCCGCCCACTCTGTCTCCCACAAGTCCTCTCCCCCACACCCCCACCCCGGCCACCAGCTGTCCAAGACCACCCTGGTTTCCTCCGCCCCCACCTCCCGCCGCGAGCACTCTGCGCCCAGACTGCAGATCGGGCCTTGTCCGCCCCCGGCCTCAGCACCCCCACCCAGGCCGCTGCACTCCGACTCGGCCCTCCCTCGGGCGCGACCTGGGCCACCGAGCCTCTTCTC